TTTTGCAGAAACAATTCTTGCCTTTTAATAGTTACCTTAATATTTAATGAAAAGGTATTTACTTTTTCCAAAAAAGGAAAAGCTTTTAAAAGTCTCAAACATAAAAAAAAAAAAAAAAAAAGAAAAAAAGAAAAAGAAACATGGTGAAGAAAATAAAAATGTTTTCTCTTCATTACTGGTAATCTAAAATTTTACAATTAATTTATAAGAATATTCATAAGCCTCTGGCTAAGTACTCAGAGAAAAACATCTTACTACAGCTTATTTAAAACTGAGGTAATGTGCATAAATACAAGTAGTGGTATACATGTCCACCCAACTTGGAAAAGATTTGTWCATGTGCTCAACTCTACTTATTAGAGTAATCAGTTTAAGTGTGTACATAGTATTTGAGAGATTAGTGATGTAATTTTCAGTTTAGAATGAGGAGAAAAAAAAACAAAAGCCAGCAATATTTAATGAAGAACAATAAGGCAAAATCTTTCATTTTGGAGAAATGACTTGTGTGTAAAGGAAAAAATGTTGTGGTTTTGGTTTTGATAAACTCTGACCAATGGGAATCTTTTTCAAGTTACTGTGGAGTGGCCTTAATGCTGTAAATAATCCTGTTGGCCAAGTCCCAGTACTGTGCAGATGAGAAAAGGATGCAGGAAATTCTGTTGTTTACACATGTGTCTCTAGCACTGAGAAGCAAGAGCAGCCCAGCAAGCCCAGAGGGTAAGGGTCTTAAGCTTTTAGCTTTAGTATTTAAGTTTTCTTTTTTTCTTCTGGGACAAAATACAGGTTACTGTCATGCTGTCGATAATTGGGATGGGAGGGGAACAATTTGAAATACTCAGAAAAAGTATTTTAAGTCAAAATATAAATAGGGTTTAAAGAATGTGGCTAAGTAATATTTAGCTAGATTTTTCTCTTCTGTACTTTTCACTACCACTGTGTAGTGGTTATGCTAACATCCTACTAAATATAGTTTATTTCTCAGATGTGTAAGGATACTTACTGCCATAACTAAATAAGTGTTTGATTTTTTTTCAATGTGTCAGGTTTCTAAAATGCTTATTTCTTATTTTTGATTTAGAAATTCATATAAATATGGAGTGTTCATTTTTGGTTATACTGTTTTGGTACTGATAACTTGTTAAAATTAGTGTGTGAAGTTAAGCTGCAGTAGGATAGGATGGTAAAGCTTTGATAATTTTTAAGCATCTGTTGTTAAAAAGGTATGTGTTGTAAGAATAATGTTACAAGCTTGCTGCTGAAGCAGTGTTTTCTGAAAGTTTCTATTTTCAGAAATACCACTAAGAGTTATGCTACTAATTTTCTTCAGAAAATACCTGATAGGATAAGTAAACAAGTAAAAGATAAATAATAAAACACGTAAAGATATGTACTTACATATATGATGTTAATTTAAGCCACGGAATATGATTTGTTGCTGCTGGACAAAGTCTTTCAGAGAATGATAAACTAATTAACTAGTGACCCAGGTGATATAAGAGTCTATGATTGATCCATCACAGTGAGATCCAAGGGCCAAGTTCCAAAAGTAATGCTAATTGGTTTAATAAATATGTAGGTCTTCTACTGAATAGCAAGTTGTGTTTTTTATCTATCTTAGTTCTCAGTGATTATCACCACTATGTGAAGCAGAATCTGTTGCTATAAGCTAARTTTTTGTTCTAAGATATTTATGTTAAAATATTTACATTTTTAAGTCTTTGAGTGCAATCATTTGCATAGTATACTGAAGATAAAAAGCTTTCCTTAAGATATTAGGGGAATTAATATAAACGTATTAATGGAACTAGTCATATCTCTTTATCATGAAATGTCCCATCAAATTCTACAAAAAATCTAATGAATGAAAGAAATGAAAGAACATTTTTGTATATGTACATATAGCCTGCTTTGAATTCAGAGCACTCTCTMTCCTTAAATATGAAGTACTGTATTCCTTTCTAAATTCAGATAGATCTGAGAAAGAAATATGTCAGAACACGAAAACCTTAGAGGACCTGGTAATAAACATACTCCAAGACACTAGCTTTGATGTCAGTACCAAAGGGGCTAGATCCTGGTGCTATTTAAACAATACAAATGTATTATTCTATTAATTTAATTAATTGTGCACTGAAAGATTTAACAAGTATTATCCTAGTTGGATTGATATTTTGGTATTATTACTATTATTTCACTACTATTTGAAATATTTAGCAAACAAAAATATCTTCCTTTTATCTTCCAAAGCACTTCTTATAAGGTGATTCCATTAAAAAAATCTACTAGCATTTTTTTCTAAACAATTTTTTTAATCCAAAGTATAATTGTCAGATGTATAATTTAATGCCATTTTCTATAAGGAATAAAAACTTTTAATTAGTTTAAATACTGCTTTCTCTTTTTCTTAATGAAATATGTATACTAATTGCTAATTGAAGAAATACATCTGAATAAAATAGTAGCAGAGTTGCTAAATTCTACAGTAACCTTCAAGTTGCCCTAATCTTCTCCATAAGTACGTATACATGGCATGTACTCTGAAGTGTGTGGCGGAATTTTTTGTTGTTGGATTTGAATTCATCCATTTCAACAAATGCAAAGAAACCCTTGAAGACTTCGGGGATACAGGACAACAGTGTGCACAAGTCTTCCAGGTGACCTGGTAGACTTGCTCTGCTATCTGTCAGTAAAGCTGCCATTTGCATAGGGTATAAAGTAGAGAATAAACATGCCACCCAGCCACCGACTTTTCTGTTGCAAGGATCCCTGCATGTGCAGTGCAAGGTGCATGGAGCAGATGGAATTTGGCGCTCTAGGGGAGGTAGGAGACATTTCCTCCTGTGCCTGCAAATGACTTTTCTAGATGTGAAAGCTGCTGTAACTAATGTCATTATCATCACTTCTGTAATTGGCTGTGAGTTTGGTTGTGGGGTACTGTGAACACCATAAATTAGATTCAATTAATAAGTAGTTGCTAGTGGAGTAGTCACTAAAGGCAATTTTATTTCTTTTATTTCTGTGATGGGATAATCAAGCAAACTTCATTTGGAAACTGTTTTTTTGTTTTGTTTTTAAAGAAGTACAATGGAAAGAAAGTACTTTCTTGGCATTTACATTAAACTATGCTGTAAAAAATGGGAAAGAGGACGATAACAAACTGTTAACCTAACATCGAAATCAGACCCTCAGTTTAGAATTAGTTAGAGAATCTGTGTGTTTTGTTGTCCTAGACAGGATTGTTCCATAACTGGTATTGCTATAGATTCTCAAATTCATACCCTTTAGTGACTGTTTCTTTAAGCTCCTTCTTGTGCCTCACTGTCTTTCTCATTCCCAAAGCTTCCACTCTGCCAAGCTTGCTGAGTGGCAATGACATTTGAAATCTGGTCGTTTATCCCATGTACAAGTGTTGCTTTAAAGAGACAGACTTCTGCATTACTGAAACAGGAGATCCTTATTGCAACTACAGTTATATCTGTATGTATGCTTCTATATAATGAATGTAATGGGTAAGTTGGCTGCTAGAGACTACTTTTCTTGCTGTCAATAGGCCATTCTTGTTGCTTCTTGTTAGAAGTTCTTAGAATCCCTTTCTTTCAGGGACTTTAGGAAGGCATCACAGGAGTGATATGACCTTTTATTAGCTAACATAACATAGCATAACATTATATATATAATACAAATGTGAAAGGAGAAAGATCTCATGCCAAACCTTTTCTTATTTAATACCAGTTACATTGCTGGGGGAATACCAGGGATGAGGATGCTGCTGAAGTGACAGTATAAATCCTATCTGAGGTGTGTTTCCCTCAAGGAAGACTTAGTGGAGATGCATTTGTTATAAAAGACTCTCTTGGAGCATTAAGATCACAAAAGAAACCTTGAACAACTGAAAAACATAAGATTTGAATGTAGTTAATTAAAAATAATTACATATAAATGCCCAAGAAGTAATCTATTTTTAACAAGAGTTCTTTTAAGAATTTTAGAAGATCTCACTTCTGCAGCTATTCTGATACAAACGATTGTGTCTCTGCTCTGCAGAATTCTACTGATTCTCATACAGCCCTATCAGGGTAGGCACACATGCCAAAAGGATAGGCTCTATCACAGAGAAAATAAAATGCTCTAATATTCATTAGGATACCATATGGATTTCTTTATTCAGAGTCAGTCTGGAAAGAGGCGTTTTCCCCACCCACATATGTAGACAAGTAGGAATGTTCCTGAATACTTTGTCTTCCACTGGAAAAAAAAAAAAAGTCTGGTTATCCGTGATTAATTTTCCCTACACGAAGTGTTACAGAGTTGCTTTTGAAAGTAGATAATGTTTTAAAAAGAAAACAATCATAGATTATTCTAAGGACTGATTTTTCTTCATTGCTAATATTAGAAACCACATTATTGTAAGACTTTATCAGTTTTTTCACGCTGAAGATTTTCTCAACTTGAGCAGAGCTTCAAAACTTTTGCTTTTAGGGGCTTTAGTGGACACCCCTTTACATCCTTACACAATGAAAATATAGAAACTCTCCACAATATTCAGGGTGCTAGGGGAAAAAAGTAAACAAAGTAACCCAGTTTAAAGTCACTTTTCAGCTAAGTGACATACAAAAAGTAGAGAAATGTAGCATAAAGTCCCCAAAATAAATTCAGTGATGATTTTTGTTTAAATGGCAAAACTTTTCTATATACTTAGGTGAACCTGTGGTGGACGTCTTTTAACGCTTGTTTTCTGGAGTATTTCTGATTGAATAAAGTGCTTTTCAACATGATCTTATTTGAAGAGAACAATTTTGGAGTAGCTGAGCATCTTAAACTCTAGCAGTGCCCAGTAAGAACTTTCAGAGACTCTCAGAATATCACTGATTAAAAACAAACAACAATAACAACAACAAAACTACATTAAAATAGTAGGAGCAGCAACCGGGAAAAGAACTCATTCATTCATTCATTCATTCATTCATTCATTCCAAATCTGATATGATTCAATACCTTTGGTCTGACTAGTTTCCCATTAGCTTATCTGGAGATTATTTATTTTTAAATTCACTCACAATCCTTTTCTGGCTAGAAATGAGTAGCTGAACAAAAAACTTTTTACTTTAATTTAAAAACCCTTCTAAACCGTATTTTGAACAATGCACCTAAAGGCGGATCTGGCCTTGGGGATGATGCAAGTCTGGAGTTTTCCATCCTCAGGAAGTTCTGGTAAAATCCACAAACGATGCTCTTCCATGTTGGGTCAAAGGYCTATCTCACAGATACTACATACAGATTTAATTAGTATGAACAAACATCTTAAAATGTTACAGGCCTATAACCTTTAATTTCTCAGTTAATAAATGGAATATAATATCAAATATAATATGGTGGACCCAATATTTTCATTTGAGTATCCTCAAAATTACTGCACTTGTACTCTTAGTTTTTTGAGGAAACATGAGTAGTATCTCGCTCTTAAATTGAATACTCTTGTCCTGATTGCAAAGACAATCTGGGATAATAAGAACCTCATTGCTGTTACTGTTTAAAGAAAGAAAGTCTTAAGGTACAAAGATAGACTGTATTACATATGTTCTTTTTCTTCATGGTAAAAGAGGTTAGTATCATGTTTGATTTTATTTTTTTTCCCCACTTTCCTTCCAGTTTATACTATGTTTAAACATTTCATGGTCATTAAGTCTGCAGCTATGTATGTATTAGAGCAGAACTAG